TTTTCACAGGAAGCTGCTGGAAAATAAAGGAGGGATGAAGGGGAGGTGGCCATCAAACACTGCCCCCTGGAGGGTGGGTTTTACATGAGCGGGGGAATGCACTGGGAGGTGAAGGGAGAGCAGAGAGCAAGTTGAACAGGGACAGTGAGGACAGCTGGGTGGCTCAGTCGGTGAAGCGTCTGCCTTCAGCTCAGGTCATGATCTCAGCGTCCTAGGATCGAGCCCCATGTCAGGCTCCCTGCTCGGTGGGGGGCCTGCTTCTCCCTCTCCCCACTGTTCTTACTCAAAATATTTTAAAATTTGAGAGTGAGAGAGCATAAGCTGGGGAGTGGGGGAAGAGCTTGATGCAGGGCCCCATCCCAGGACCCTGGGATCATGACCAGAGCTGAAGGCAGACGCTTAACCCACTGAGCCACCCAGGCGCCCCTCAAGTTGTGTTAAAAAGAGTGGCTGGAGAGGACTCATCTTTATTTCAGTAGGTCCCCACACTGAGACACCTGAAATCTGGCTAGAACTTTACACAATTCATTTTGTATATAAAGCAGAGAAGATACTGTAAAAAGTAGCAACCCTAAAGATTTTGTCAGAGCACAAGCAGGGGGAGTGGCAGGCAAAGCAGGCTCCCCACTGAGCAAGGTGCCCCATGTGGGGCTCGATCCCACGACCTTGGGATCATGACCTGAGCCAAAGGCAGACGCTTAACGACTGAGCCACCCAGGCGCCCCTATTAGTTGATTTTCTTAAGTGTGTTTTTAGAATGTATTAGTAGAGGACCAGAAGAGCATTGGGCAAGATGCAATGAAAAAGGATGTTTAGAAAAGAGTTCTTAGGGGGCGCCTGGGTGGCTCAGTTGGTTAAGCATTTGCCTTCGGCTCGGGTCACGATCCCAGGGTCCTGGGATCAAGTCCCACATGAGGCTCCCTGCTCCACGGGGAGCCTGCTTCCCGCTCTCCCTCTGCTGCTCCCCCTGCTTTTGTACTCATCCTCTCTTGCTCTCTCTCTGACAAGTAAGTAAAATCTTAAAAAAAAAAAAAGAGTTCATAGCCTGATATTTTAGAAAGAGCAAAGCAGAATTACCTTTCAGTCAGTGATCTTGTCTGTTGTGAGCAGTTACACAGCCACTCAGCAGCGAACACTTAGTATTAACCTTTTTTGTACTCCCCTCTTCTCCACCCTACAAGAGTCTAACCTACATACTAAGAACAGCTCAGAAAAACCAAACATCATTTTGGGAGTTACTCAGATTCAGATGAAGAAAAGGCACTTTTCTTTGCCAGACTTACCATTCAGATTCCCAGCCCTGCAGCAAATAGTCATGAGCACTGATGCTCAGAACACTTGAGGAATTCTGATCTCTGCCCTGATGTGCACCCCCGATACTCAGTATTTCCACGTAATATTTATGTAGAGTTCCAGGATAAGTCAGAGTTGTGTTAGGGAGCCCTCCTTGGTCCGAGACAGTTATTTTATTCTCTAATGCTCACAACCTCAAAGAATGTCTCATTCATTTGTTCCACCAGTACTAGTCTTATTGAGTACCTCCTATGTGTCCAGCACATCGCAGAGTCCAAAAGATACGAAGCATAACAGTAAATACCTACAATCAGATGTGATAGGTAGGTAAGAGAGGGACATACAAAGAGACTATGAGGAAATAGTTCATTTGAACTGGGGATTTTAGAGGATGTAAGCACAATTTATAGTTCTCATTACCTCTCCCTGACTTATCCATTCATTAAATTCAGTAACTATTAAGCCAAGTCATGGGTAAGGATGCAAAGCAGAAAGACCCAGCTCATCCTCAGCTAGCTTGTGTTCCTAGGGTTGGCAAATTACAGCCTGTGAGCCAAGTTGGCCCACTGCCTATTTTTGTAAAAATAATTTTATTGGAATACAACAGCACCTATTTATGTATTACCTATGGCTGCTTTGATGCTCCAGTAGCAGAGTTGAGTAGTAGAGATCACAATGGCCCACGAAGCCTAAAATATTTATTCTCTGTCTCTTTGTAGCAGGTGAGATAGACAAACTAAAATTTATAGCAGTATAGTAAGTACTGTAATATAGAGAAGTAGAGGAAACTGAGAGAAAAAGATAGGGGGAATTGTGTAATTTGGAGGGAAATCTGCATAGATGTCTGCAACCAGAGAAAACCTCCTAGAAAGTTGACACCTGTAAAGAGTCTTGGAGAGAATTAAGAGGTAAATGGAGGTTAACAGGTGGATATGAGGAAGACAAATATTCCTGGTAATAGGTTCAAATAGAATGAACTTGTAGGTATAATAATTATATCATTATATAATAGTAAATATATAATAATTATAGATAACACTTACTGAGCATTTATTTATGTACCAGGCACATATGTGTTTCATTCAGTTCTTACATTATCTCTTTCAGTACTCACAAAGTACTATCAGTTTTTAAAAAGAGAAAACAAAGAGGTCAAAGAAATTTGCCCAAAGCCTTAAAACTAGTAAGTGATAAAACCAAGATTCAAACTACTGTCTCTTTGAGTCTAAACACATTTGTGATAGCTAACTATCATACCTTGCTGGCCTGTGAATAACCTGACCTATTTAGGGAGTTGCCAGCGAACAGGTACTCCTGAAGAGGGGGCATGGGAAGGAAGCTGTGGGACATGAGGTTGGCAGCAGTCTCAAAGCCAGGCTGTAAATGGCCTCTATCACCATAACAAAGAGTCTATTATCTTTTTTTATCATGTGTACAGTTTGATCATTCTTTGCAGGAAAGTGATCTATCAGATGGGCATTTTAGAAAACTAGCCATAATTTGTAGCGGGTTGGGTGGGTCGGGGGGAGATTGGAGCAAGGAGAGACTAGGAGAGGCATCTGTGAGGACAGTGATAAGTACGGTCGAGAGAACATGTGTTTTTGAGTTAAAGAGTTTGGGTTCATATCCTAGCCAGACCACTTTTGGGGCCTTGGTAAATCTTTTAATCTCAATGGAATTTTAGTTACCCCCGTTGAAAAGTGGGGGTAATCATGGGATTGATTTAAAGAGTAAATGACATAATATACTCAGTAAGCTCTAGCAATTATCAATTTAGGTAGAAGAACCGCAAACAATACAGTTCCAACCAAAAGGAACCAAAATAGGAAATGCTCAAAGACACAAGCTATCTCTACTCTCATTTCAGACTGCTCAGGGTCCAAGTCAGACTTCCCACCCCTATCTGCTTTACTGATGTTATTAACCTCTGTAAGGCTTATTTTCCTCACCTGAAAAATGGGAGTGATAAATATTACCTAACTCATAGGATTTTACTGAGGATTAAATTAGATAACTAATGTAAAGTATTTAACACAGTGCCTAACACATGGACAGCTCTCAGTATATGCTGGTTGTATATATTGTTGTTATTCCAAGGAAGGAAAAATGATTTCTATTTGAGAGATAATCTAGAACTTAGGATATAAAAGCATTCATAATTTTGAGTCCCGCCCCCTTTCCAAATGAATGTTAGAAGAATCATCACCCAATGCATGAAAGCCTAACGTGATAATTAGGGGTTGAAGTAGATGTCACATGCCACAGAAAGGCTGAGAAATGTTAGAGATCGTGTATTATGATGAAAAGAGAATGGGCCATGCAGTCATACATGGATTCCATTCCTGGCTTAGCCATCATAACCCAGCTTGGCTATAATCCTGACAAATTACATCTCTTACTTGCCACCAAAAAGACTTATCGCTGGGGTTAACGACACAGGCTCTGGAGTTGGGCTCCCTGGGTTCAGTCCCAAGCTCCACCGAGTATCAGCTGTGTGTCTTCAATAAGTCACCCCACTTCTCTCTGCCTCAGTCTCCTTACCTACAAAATAGTGATGATAAAGGAACCCACCTCGTAAGAGTTATAAGGCTTAAATTAAGTGAGGTAAGACATGTCAATGACTAAAACAACATCTGGCATGCAGTAAACACTCAAATACTTAATATGCACTAATTAAAGGTCTCTCTTGCAGAGTTATTGTGAAGTGCCCAGCATAATACTTGTATACGTAGGCTCTCCGTCACTAGTTGGTGTGATGAAGACAGACGAATGTGTTAGCATCAGACCTATTCTGAGAGAGAAACTGGCAGCACAAGATGAAACTAGAATCATTTACTCAGGCACTGAAGAGGCACAAGAACCATACATACCTAGTTAAGAAAGTGAACCCATGAGAATGAAGAGAACAGAGCAACAAGCAATAGAGACCTGGGGAGCAACACCCCCAGTAATCCCCTTGAAGCCTAGTGGGTACAGCCTGACCAGCTCAGGGATGCCTACAGAGGTTGCAGGGTTGCACGTCCTTGCTTGCCTTTGAGACATTCAGTTTCTGACAGAAAGTGCTTTCATTTGTTTCTATTCCTCTCTGTGATTTGTCTTTCATCTCTGGCCATTTTTAAAGATTTTATCACTGGTTCTTAGTAGTTTGGTTATGATGTTCCTTGGTGTGTTTTTCTTTGTGTTTATTCTGCTTGGGGTTCATGGAGCTTCTTGGATCTGTGGTTTACAGTTTTCCTCAAGTTTGGAAATTCTCCAGCCATTATTTTTACCTGCCCCTCCTTCTGTTTTCCTCATCTACAGATTCTAGCCCCCAGCCTCCCTGAGCTCAGAAAGAGTGACCCCTGCACTCAGAAAGACCACCTGGCTGTGTTGGGGTTCTCCCTGCCGTGCAGGCTGGAAGAACCCTGAAGGAAACCACTTTGGGCTTTCTTCATTGATTTCCCTTCTCTCAGGACCAGTCCTGTACTGCCTGTTGTCCAGTGTATGAAACTGTTATTTTACATGTGCTGTAAAAATGTTCTAGTTATTTAAAGCAGGAGGGAAAGTCCGGTTCCTGTTACTCCATCGTTGCCAGAGTAGAACCATTTTAGGGCCTCTGAAAGCCAGTGTGCAGGGGCGGCGCTCAGCAAGGTCCCTTCAAATTCTGATTGTCTGTAGCTGTGAATGAATGTTCACTGGTGTTTTGAATGTTCCTGTTTCTTCTGCAGAATGAGTCTGTAAGAACAGGAGCCTCTGAGCAGTCAACTGAAAGGTCCAATTCAGTCCGCAGTAGGCTGGTAACCAGTACATTACTCCCATTTTTTAGAATTTCCTCTTAAAATTCCATGTGGGAAGAGACCAGTCATGGTGGTTGCTTAAATACCTGTTTTAGTCACAAGGCTTGCAAATTTTAAGTTTTTAGTATTGTCCATATTTCATTAATACAGGTCAGTCAGTACCTGGAATATCAGGGCAAAGGCTAAGCTGCTATTAACAAAGATAACCAAAAATAGAGTGGCCAGGCTGATGAGACAGCTTTGCCTCAAAAGGTGACCCAAGGCCTCTCCATTTTGCCCTTCACCATCTTCCCTACCTGTTGTCAAACTTGGATGGCTGCCAGTCCAGAGCAAGCAATTTCTCTTTAAGCAAGTGAGACAGAGTTGACACATCCCCATTCATGTTCCATGGGGCGGGGAACTAAGTCACATGCCAACACCTGTCAGCAAAGTTTAGGAACTGTGGCCTCTAGCTGAGAAGTCCGTACAGCCTGTAGCCAGAACCATGAAGAAGGAGAGGATAGATTTAGGGGGACAACCAGCAGTATGCCAAACCGAGCTAATGAAGAAATAAACCCCTCTTCAAGATCACTTCACTTTAGGGGCACCTGGGTGGCTCAGTCGGTTAAACGTCCAACTCTTGATTTCAGCTCAGGTCATGATCTCAAGGTTGTGGGATCGAGCCTCCACGCTCAACAGGAAGTCTGTTTCTCTCTTTCCCTCTCTCCCTCTCCATCTGCCCTTCCCCCTGCTTTCACACACTCTCTCTCATAAATAAATCTTTTTAAAAAAATCACTTCACTCTAAATCTGTATTACACCGGTATAATTTACATTACTGACCACATATAAAGACATTGGCATGGGGCACCTGGTTGGCTCAGTCAGTTAAGTGTCCACCTTCGGTTCAGGTCATGATCTCAGGGTCCTGGCATCAAGCCCCATATCAGGCTCCCTGCTCAGTGGGGAGTCTGCTTCTCCCTCTTCCTCTGCCCCTCCCCCTGCTCTTGCTCTCTCTATCTCTCTCAAATAAATACATGAAATCTTTAAAAAAAAAAAAATGAAGACATTGGCATGTTGACTAAAAGAATTCTTTCTAGAAAGGTACATTAAGACAGCACACACTAAAAACAATCACCCATTAACTGCAAGACCTGGATAAATTGCCAGTCAGTATATACTCTTGGATGAGATTGATTTTTAGGATTTACATATAAACAGGTTTCAAGAAAAGATTTCTTGCCACATGCTAAAGATTTAGGAACAATACTAGATTATTGTAGGAATATGTGTGACTAGACTAATCCAACGTATTGATGATAAACATTTAATATTTCAAGTATTTTCTATCTGTGATCTCTTTAAACCGTGTGGAAATCAAATCTAGCCGAAAATGCCTAATGCACTATCTCTTTGAGGGCAAGGTTAACCAGAACAGTTTCAAGCATTACAGCTCAAGATCTTGAAGTGTTTTTTTTTTCCCCCTCCTGTTGTAGGGTGGGGTCCGGAGCTTATGAACAAGTTGTGATCAAACGCTAGAAGTCAAGCTGGTGAACTGAAGCTTCCCTGGGGGGTTGAGACATGGGCAGTCAAGCTGTCAAGGCACTTCATTCAAGCACTTAGGAGAAAATGAACATATTTTACAAATGAAGCACGTTCCTCTATTAAGAGGAAAGCCAACACCGATTTCTTCTCGGAAAGTACCCACCACCATCCTGTCCCACCCCCCGAAAGGGAACATCAGAACTGTAGCATCCAGGTGCTGGGCCACGTGTTGCTAGCAGCAGACGGCTTCCGCGGTCACTGCATAGGATAATGAAAAGCCTGCTTTTTCTTTCAGAACCTCCAGGTGGGGAAAGCAACGCTATACATCTGAGTACAGCTCCGTACTGAAGTGTAAAACCTATAGTAGAGGTGCTCAGCAGGTTTGGGCAGTAGTAAGTGAATCATTTGGACCCTATAAATTCTGTCAAGATAGTTATAACCTCTTAAGGAAATCTCCCAGATGCTATCCTACCTACAGTATTGTACTGCTTAGTAACTTTTCTTGATTAAGTAATTGATATAAAGTTTGGGTGTTCATGTTTGGGGGAAAATGTTATACTACAATTTAAACGTGTAGAATGCTTAATTCTCACCGTATCCGTCACAAATGGAGTGTGTTTAAGTCTGAGATATGTGAATGAGTGTAATGCCATTATTTTGCAACACGTATTGTTACTAGTTAATGTTAGATGAGCTGCAGAACTCTTACTAGTGCTATAGATGAGATTCATGGTAAGTTTAATATTTAATAGGTTAAGCTCCCATAAGCACCTTAAGAGCTGTTCTAACTGAATAATATCTGCTGGTTTCAGGAGTCAGAATTCAGAACAGGAGGAAAATTGTAGCATGGTCAGAAACAGTGGCCTTTTCTGTGTAAGTTCAGACTTATATCTGAAACTGAAAATTATTCCAAGGAGGTGGCAGATAAGACAGGGGACAGCTGCTTGACATTACTGACATGGACTCGTGGTTTTCTATTTTAAACTCCGCACAATGGGATACTCTGTTTTTTCCTTTACTCTAACAGTAGTTGTTTTGAGACAGTAGACTATAACATAATCCAATATAGCTTTAAAAGTAAGAATATCTGATCTGGATCCAGTTTAACAAGCTCAGCAGATAGACCATCTTTTTATCAGGTGGGAAGTTTTTCTGGTCTTACATGACAGGTTTTAATGTTCTTGGAGTCACTCAGTCACTGAAGAAAAATGCAGGTTCTATAGAACCAGTAATTCCCAGTCCTTACATTCAAAACCGTGTGCAGAAAAAACACGATACGTTAGAATAACTTTCGTCTAGGTATTTTTGTGTTGGCAAAGTCAGGGGAAAATACATTAAGAAAATATTTCAATGTCCAAATGTAGAGATTTGGAAAAATTCTGAGTAGTTCGTGTTAGGGTTTTAGATTTTTTTAACATTCCAAGGATTAGGTATTCTAAATTAATCCAGTTCTATTGCAAATAGATATTTTTAAAAAGGTGAAACCCCATTTTAGAATCTTTTGAATGTTGAGAGATAGAGTTTGAGTCATTAGTAATACTTTTGTTATTTTATTTTGACAAAGGAACAAAATTGACCTGACCATTTTAGTCTAACCAAGGAAAACCGTTAGCTTAAGTAGTAAAGACTTGCTTGCTCTCTGTAACAAAGTGAGCTGATCCATCCATTATATATTATTGGGGGGGGGTCAAAGTTTTTAATAGAGATATGAAACTAGTGTTTACAGATATTTATGACATGTTTTAAGAACATATTTTTCTATTTTCAAAATATTATTTCTAGGCTATATTTTTTATTGGCACTTCTGTAAATAATTTTGCCATTTTGAAAATGATAAAAGCTATCGATTATAAGCGAAGTTCAGTGAGGACATTCTTCAGCTATGTAAAAGGTCCTGTAATCCAGGCATTGCCCATCTTATCCTTGCCTGCCCTCAGCCTCCTGATACCATTATACAAGACTGGCTCTCAGCATTTTAAAAGGATATAGAAATATTTTTTTTTAAATGTGGAGATCTTGAAAAGCATAAAAATCATGCCCTCTAGGGCACCTGGGTGGCTCAGTTGGTTAAGCGACTGCCTTTGGCTCAGGTCATGATCCTGGAGTCCCTGGATCGAGTCCCGCATCGGGCTCCCTGCTC